GGGCTGGTACCTGGCTTTGAAGGCAGTTTGTGATGTTTCACCAATGGGACTAGCGACTGCACCACATCCGCCATTAGTGGCCGGTAATCAGCCTCCGGCTGCACGCACATAGCAGCGATGGCGGCAACTTGTATAACCTCCTTCATCGAGTACTGGCCCTCAAGGGCTGGGTCCATGATATCTAAAACCTTTTCTCTATCCGTGAGTTGGGGTAAGGCCTACCACCATAAATGTGGAAAAGAAATTTTATCGGAACGTGTAGAAATACAACGGCGCTCACTAAACTTATATAATATCATATTATTTGATGTGGCACTGCTCAAGAATTTAACAATAAACATACCCAAGAAACGAGAACACCTTCCCCTTGAGGTCTCTTCATATCCACGGGAACCCTGCCGGTCAGCAATTCCAGGAGGACGACTCCATAACTGTACACGTCTGATTTCATTGTCAGATGCCCAGTTAATGCATACCTGAAGAAATGTAGAATTCAAGTCGAGTAGCGTGAAGAATTTATCATGTAAAAATACGGTATAACTTCCGAAATGAAAAATGTTAGCTTACTCGGGTGCAACGTATCCTTGGGTGCCCAATACTCTAGTTGAAACATGGCCACCAGCTTTCTCAGAACCAAGTTTTGCTAACCCAAAGTCGGAAATTTTGGCATGGAAATTTCTATCCAAAAGGATGTTACTACTTTTAAAATCTCTGTGAATTACTGGTGGACTAACATGTTCGTGGAGATACTCCAATCCTTTTGCTGCCTCCAAAGCTATTCTGAGCCGAGTGCCCCAATTCAACTTTGATAGAATGCTATTAGAAGCTGAGTTTAAAAGAAAAATGCCATTTATAGTACCTTAATGAGAATAGATCTGATTATAGAGAGTTCAAAAGGAAGAATAGATCTAAATAATATGAAGAAAAGAAAAGAAAAGAGCAGAAACAAAAAGTCTCGATGGGCAAAAATACACGAAGTCATCATACGTGTCAGAAGGACAAGTTGGATCATTCAAGTAAGTTAATTCAATATCGTAAATTTGGATAAACAGAAAGAGCATGCACATGGTTTAACTACTTGAAAGAATGAAAATAGATGTTGCATATCAGGATGGTCGAAAACAAGCATATCATGCATCAGATATAGGAATCATTCCTAAATGGAGATGAAAAAAATTTGATGAGACTTGGAAGCATGAAAAAGTCAATAACATCCCAATGGAGAAATTCAAGACGAGAAAACAAATAGCAAGTTCAACGGAAGAAGGGGATAAAAGACCTACATTAATGATAAATGCCAAATTTAGATTTTTATATTTGCCATGCACCTAATATGAATCATTCAAATATGATATACTCAACTAAGATAGATAGTGTCTGATCAGAGAACCATATGCAAGATCATTGAAAGCAATTGCAGATTCAAACAAACAAACACATACCCCCAATGGGATACAAATGTTCCTGCAAACCACCATTTGCCATGAACTCGTAAACCAGCAACTTATGGTTGCTTTCTGAACAGAATCCAATCATCGGGAGCAAATATGGCGACCTCAAACGACCCAGCAAATCCACCTATAATTATATAATACACTATTAATAATAAGTAAGAAAAACATAACAAAGGGGGGAACTAAGAAACATTTTGCACTTGTACACAAAATTAAAAAATATAAATTTAACAAGGAAAAAGCCGACAGGGACAAGACCTCCACTTTAAATTCATCTTCTCCTTGTTTACCAGCCTGATTCATCAACTTAACCGCAACCTTCCTCCCATCTTGGAGCACTCCCCGGTAGACTAACCCAAACGCACCATGTCCAATAACATTAGACTTTCCGAAACCACCAGTGGCTGAATGCAGCTGCTTGAAGGTGAAAACTTGAAGTCCACTATCAGTTGCAACTTGAATATTCACAAAATCTTCTCCTTTCTCCGCATAATCAACTCCTTTT